CTGGGTACCATGGATACCTCTGGATGGCTCTCCCTGTGGCTGAAGTCACATGGGCAGCAAGAGCTGAGTGGGAGAAAGGACTCAGCATTTTAAGTGCATTTAAAGTGGGCAGTCAGCATTAGGCCACCAGACACCACAGAACTCCCCTACACCTGTGCACAGTTCTGCACAATACGCAGAGCCCTGGGGTTCCGATGGACTGCCCTCTCCCAGCATGTGACCCGGCCCAGCCAGCACACCCGTCCTCCAGGCCAGAGTAAATGTTTAAATAGCAGTACATGGCCCTAATGCAGGCCAGTGAGGCCTCTCCCAGGACATCTGCTGACCAGGGTGCTCAATTTCCACCATGATTGCTAGCTGGTCAGCCCAGGGCCGCTGGAGCCATTCTTGCCCCCCGTGCCTGAGGCCAGATGCACCTTCAGATTTTTCTACTGTGTGAACCAACCAACTCCTTTTTCACTCAAGCCAGTTGAGGTTATGTTTCTGTCACACACAGAAACATACCTGGTGTGGTTTGCAGCTAGATGCAACACCCAAGCCCATGCAATCTCTCAGACGGCCCCTGCTCGGGGAGGGAGTGAAGCAAGCCTCCCAGCTAGACAGGTGTCTCCAGAGCCGACAGTCTGCAGGGCCGCTGCACAGGGAGCGGCTGTGTGCCCAGGCTCTGGTCTGCTCCTTGGGCAGCTGCTCACTGGCCTCCACGCTATGCCTAGGCTCTGCTCTGTGCTCCTGGGCACTGTCCTCGAGGAGCTCTGGGGGACAGTCTGGGTAACCTTGTGGCCTTGGGTGAGTGATTTCACTTCTTTGTTCCAAATGGAGCTACTGTTAATGGCCCTGACACCATTGATGGATGCCAGGGCATGCTGCAAAAGCAGCTCCCCATGCATCCACACGTAGCACCACAAAGGCTTGTTTGGTGCTGGTGCCATGGCTGGAGGCTCTGCTGCCCAGAATCCTCACTCCAGGAGGGTCAGATGCTCAGCTTGGACAGGCCTCAAGTTGCTTCACTGACAATTCTGTGGTTAGGACAAGTCTTATGGCCCCACCCTGCACACTGCGAACCTGCCCACAAACCTTGACTCAGGGCTGACAGATCCCCAGGAAGGCCCCACGGGTCGCAGCAGGCCACAGGCTTGGGAGACATCTACAAGAGCCTCCTAACTGGCCTCTGGTCTCCTCCTGCCTCTGGTGCCCTAGTCCCATGGCTGCCAAATGCAAATCAGAGCCCAACACCCCATGTCACCTCCAAGCCTCCAGGGAGCACAGTGCACACCAGTCCCCACCCCCTCTGCTGTTCCAGGAAACTCGCTTCCTTCACATCCCCTCTGCCAGCTCCTTGCTCCTCTCCTAAAGGTCTTCCTGGCCTGGAAGGCAGGCGCTGGGTCCCAAAACCATTCTCTGAGACACAACTGTGCTTTCTTTAGGCACTGAGCCCACCTGCAGCTACTTTGCTAGTTTTTCAGCCTGGCCTACTTTATCTCTGCTCACAGAGTCTGTGTTTTGTCCCCTGCCTTGAGCTGTGGCTGCTCTGAGACCCAGGTGAAGAGACAGTCTATAGTCCCCTTTCATTTACTCGAGTGAGTACGCTAGCCCAGACCCACACACTGGCCCTGCCCCTGCCCTGCACCCGGCTCAGAGCAGTCGGCAGGCCTGCATTAACAGCTGATAGTTTAATACCATCATGAACTGGCACAGCAATCACAGCGCTGCATAATTACACCTGATCGCACAGCACAGCCAGTGCTGATTGCAGCTCAGAGACAGCCCCTGATTTCAGGCTGGCAGGGTTGGAGCCCTCAGTGGCCTAACAAGGGTAATTGAGGCAAAACTGATTGTGCCAGAAAGCTAAAGGGGACTGAGCTGTGAGAATGGGCCACGTCATACTCCAAACGGGATCACATTTGCTAAATTTATTCCTGATTCAATTTCATGGTGATTACACTGATTTCTTTTTAGTCACTGAGCCGGGCGTGGAGCTCGACGCTTGCAGCCCTGCTGTCAGGATGGGCCTGCTTGAGAGCGGGGGGGTATTAATCATGATTTATGGACCCCTGTCAGAACACATGGATGGACCAGAGCCTGGAGGGATGGTGCCCCCTCCCGATGCCTGCTGGCCCGCTCAGTCCCTGTCACTCCCCCGTGTAGCCCTGGGCATGCCATGCAGCCTCTGTGCCTCAGCTTCCTCACTATAGATGGGGATACCCCCAAACCTTGCAGAGTGGCTGGGAAGTTGAGGTGGTGCTCAGATGCTCTAGGCTGAGGTCTGCCTGGAGATGTGAGACGCAGCTACAGAGCAGGCACCCAGGGCCCCGGGGACACGTCATGTCCAGAGAGGTGCCTGCCTCACCCAGAATCCTCACACCTGACCCCCATGCCCACCCTCTGAGGCAGGAACGGCTACCCCTATTGGGCTGTGGATGAAATGGGTCCAGAAATGGGGCACTGACCAAAGCTAGTGGCTGGCAGAAGCTGCATCAACGTCTTCTCCACCACAAAAGTATTCGTAAAGATTTTCATGAGATTAAGAAATCTAAGTTTACACCAGAAAGGCCAACATTTCTCAAACGGGGTTCCTCAGCTGCCAGGCTACCAACAGAGGGGGCTTCCTGACTGAGAAAGCTCGTGAAATGCGATTCCAGCCCTTATGTTCAAGGTGGGCACTCAAGGCCACAGCCTCAGGTCACCCCTGCTGTTGGCCATGGCCCCTGGGCTGCCCAGAATCTATTCCATTTCATAAGGCACCTTGGGACGCTTGCCTCATGGCAGGACTGTGAACCACTGCCTGAGCCTGGACCACAGAGCTCTGATGGGGCTCAGGCCCTGGTCTTTAGTTCATCAAGGACCTTGGTGTGTCACTGGGACAAGGGGTCCCAGCTCAGACTCCAGCAAAAGGAGCACAGCCACAGCTTGGGTGCCTTGGACCACCCAGGGATCTGCTGGTGCAGAGGTGGCCAGTTAACAGTCCCAGGTGCTACTGCCTTTGTGGCAAGCACCATTCTCAGACCATCTAATCAGCCTACCTGAGGTCCTTCAAAGCCCCATGAGTGGCAGAACCAGTGGCACCTGAAAGTCCAGGGAGCTGCTGACCCAACCCTGCCTCCTGGCCTTGGAAACCTCCCCTAACACACCTCCCAACAAGGAAGGCCGGGAGTCATAAGCTTTAGCAAAAATGTTTAATCTCTCCTTAATGTGTGTGTTTATGTACAAGTACTAAATCTGAAGACAGTAAAATAGGAAATAGCAGTATATATACACATCTGAGGGCTGAGCCTGGGCAGCTACGCTGCTTCTGTGAGAAGCCATGGCCAAGGGTCAGCTCAGACCGTCCAAGTGATTGCTCTTCTCTTGGTTTGGGGTTCTGTGGCATTAAAGGACAGCTAGTTGTGGGCTTCATCTTAAAAATATCTTTCTCTCTCTCTAAATATATCGAATCTAGCTTGTGTAGCACCAACGAGGTGAGCCATCAAATCCAGAGTCACCGGGAGGCATACAGGACAGACGCCCTCACAGCAAGGTCAGCCCAGGGGCAGCAGGAGGCCGTTCCAGGCCCTCTGTGGAACACAGCATGCTAGGCTGGTGCTGGTACTCAATGCTGTGGGGCCAGGGAGAGGCGAGTCAGGGTCTGGTGGTCTTGGGCTGCAGAATGCAGGGAAACTCGAGGTATATGGAGAGGCCGGGCTCCCAGGCCAAGGCGAGAGCTGTCCAGGGCACTCCTGAGACCAGACGCAGGAGGCTGAGGGGAAGCGCTGAGTGCGTGGGGTGGGAGGGCTGTGAGAAGCAGGTGGCACAGGTGGTGGTAGCAGCAGCGTCTGAGCCAGGCCGGGAGGGTGTTGCTTTCCCTGCGTTGCAGCACAGGCTCCCTGCAGACGAGGGCCTAAGAGAGCACGCCTGGTGCACAGCACACTCCAACCCCGGTTCCCACAGGACCCCTGCCAGTTCCGGAGCTCAGGATGGGAGCCCCCCGGCAGGCAGGAAGTAACAGTGGGTGCCTGAGCCTGGCTCCACGGATCTGCAGAACTAAGAGGACTGTGGGAACTAGAGTGGACACTGGAGCCTAGTTCCATGACAAGGCAGGAAGCTGGGGCTGGCGGGGCTGCTCGGAGACCTGCTGTACTGGGCAGACTGCACGGCTAGGATCAGGCTGGTCAGCTTGTATGTAAACAGGTACTGCTAAAGTGCTTGCAGCTAGACACGGCCGTGTGTTCTGCGGCAGCCACACACTCCTGCAGGTGCCACTCTGGCAAGGCCAGCAGGCATACCTCCTCCATGACCACTGCTGTCCCTACTACTGGTCCACGTGGACAGGGCAGCCTGGCAAAGCCAAGAGAGGCTCCCCAGCTTTGGCCAGGGAGGGAGGCCTCAGGAAGGGTAAGGGCTGGAAGTGGATTCTGAAGGTGGTGAGCAGGAGCTGAGCAGGCGCTGCCTGATCCATGCAGAACTGGAAGAACCAGGGCTTCAATTTGAAGCCAGTGTCCAGGGAAGACTTCGGGGGAAACCAAGGGTCTCACCCAGGCACAACCAGGCGGCATCAGAAGGGAGGCAAAATCCCAGGGAGCTGACTGGCCTCAGCTCTGGCCACCCAGGTCTGCCCAGGGAGTGAGCCCCCACCTGCAGTGGGCAGGGACAGGGAGAAGAGCTGGGCATGATGGTAGTGAGTGCCCCATGGGGTCGAGGAGCTCCCTGAGTCAGCAGTTCACCAATTTCACACCGACCTCCATGTGAGGGGGCAGCTCCTTCGTGGTCTCCACGCTGTCCAGTCTGGCTCATGCTGCTTGGGAGGGAAGGACCCCAAGACTGGCAGCCCATGGGGGGCAGAGTGCTCTTTCCCTGGGTTGGGGCCGAGGTACCAAGACTTGGTCTGACCACAGTTAGCTGTCCCTTAAAGTCCGTGGGAATCTTTAGTACCATCAAAAAAGTGATCTTGAAAAGGGGATGACCACTTGTTTGCTTTTACAAGTGACCGAGTAATTAAAAAACATAAAAAAGGGTCTAACAACCTCTAGTATTCAACATTTGCAGTTTTAAAAAGATCAACTCAGACTAAACGCTAGCACAGTCATGCATAATCCCAGGCCCTGTGCGCCCTGGACGCTCTCAGGGGATCAGCAAGAAGCTCTTTCCTTTTCACGTCAAACAAAAACAGAGCAAGCTGCGGGCCAAGGGGCCTGGGCTCAAGTGCTCCACTCCAGGGAACTCTGGCCACTTTTTCTGCAACCATTTGGTATTGCTTTCCCACTGCCTTAATTTTCTTACTCTAAATTGTCGTTAAAATTTCTTCTCCTTCAAATAACTATACAGGACCCCACTGGGGCTGGACACTGAGGCGAGCGCCATATATATATATATATACACATATATATATGTACAGGTTTCTTTTAAAAATTTGTTCTCTCTTGCTCATTGAGGGCAGGATGGACACAGCCAGCCTCTAGGCCCTCTGGTCACTGCCAGCTGCTTCCAGCCTGAATGGCTCCAGGCCTGAAATGTGGCTGGAGCGGCCCTGGCCTGGCCTGCAGCCCAAGCAGAGAGCAGCACAGGATTTTCGCCTTCAACACAAAACGGTCCCCAGATGACCCACTGCTCTGGAGGGGTCAGGACACTGCTGAGATGCCACACTGGAAGCTGCTGGGGCAGCAGGAGGGAGGGAAGGAAGGGGGCGTGGTCGGGGCTGCCCTCAGGAGTCCCAGAGGGGAGCTCGGTCCACCTCACAGGCAGCTGCCCTGGCCGGCCCTCACAGGAGGATGTAGAGGGGAATAAATAATGGGAACGTGTGCTCTGTGGCCTGGAGCCCCTGGTCCAGGGTTCTCAGAGCCACAGCCCTGAGGACAGAGAGGGAGTCTAGTCTGTCTGAAAGTCCCTCGGGAGTGGTGAGCGGCGCCAGCCTGCATCCCCTCCATAGGAGGGCAGCAGGCCTCTATGGGGTAAGGTGGACATGGCGCTCTGGCCTCGGCCGCGCAGAGCACGCGGTGAATCTGAGGATGGTGGCGGCACAGAACGCATGGGAGTGCTGGATGCAGACAGTGGGTGGCCTGTCCCTCCCTCCAACCACCAGCCAGTCCCCTAGACACTTAAGACTCTGCAGGCTGGCGGCAGCACAGGAAGCCAAGAACTGCTCACATCCCCAGCCCGTGTCCCGACTTCGAGGGTGCAGCCCAAGCTAGCCGCCTCTCCCTCTGGAGGGTCTGGCTGTACCCCTCAGCCCCTCAAGGCTGTCCTTTGTCCCATGAAAGCCTCTGGACAGCTCCTGCCAGGCAGTGACGGCCCCCAGGGAGGGCTGGCCTGGCCCCTGTGCTCTCCCAGCAGCTGTGGGAGCAGCAATGGCTCAGCAGGTCCCGTCACATCCACACCAGGAAAAACCAGGCCCCCAGCCTGGTGGAACGAAGATGGGGGCCAAGAGGGCACTGGGCCACTGAAGGCCCCTTAGTGCCCCGGGCACTCTGCACGGGGTGAGGGCTGCTGAGGTTCCTGCTCTGCCGCCCTCTCAAGCCACCTCCTGCTGGGTAATCCAGCCAAGCTTAGCCGCTCAGGGCCATCGTGTCCACCACCTGCTCCAGCTTGCTCCGCAGCCGCTGCCGCCGCGCCTGCTCATCCTTCTCCAGGGCCGCTAGGATCTGCAAGGCAGCAGCAGTACCCGGTAACTATGGGGCACACACAGAGATTCAGCCCCCTTGTCCCCAGGACCTCAGTGTGGACAATGACCCGTCATCATTCCTACCCTCGTCTCACAGAACAGTGGCTCTGAGCCCCCAGCCACCTGCCATTGCCCAGCCAGTGCCTCCCCTGGTTCCACGCCCCTCCCAGCAGTGCTCCCCAGAAAGCCTCTGCTCCCTCCCTGTCCAGTTTTATACCCCAGGACCTCCGGCTTTTATACCCATACCTGCTCTGGCATGGTGTCGGTGTCACCACTGAGATCAGCTGCCACCTCCTACTGTTCCTCCCTTCCCCTCACAGGACCTGACTACCTATCCATGACCCCTCCTGTGCTGACCACAGCCTCTTCCTGAAGTCCCCTCTGTTCAACAGATAGCCTCCACACTGACTTCAAGCCCAGAGTTCTACTGAGCTCCTTAGTTCCAATGTCCTCAAACCCAGAGAAGAGCCTCAAGTTCTAGCCTCAGCCCTGGGCCTCCCATAGCTCTCCCAGCCCCCTCCAGCCCACCTCCAGTTGGCTCAGCGAGATGGTCCTCCCCACTTTAGACCCCCAGCGTCCCTGCTCAGGGGGTCTGTACCTAGGAAGTCTGAAGAGGTCCACCCCACCTAACGAACCTTGTGACAGGCCCACTCATCACCCAAATCCTCCCCCGGGGATGATGCTGCCACCTGCCTCCCCTGTACTCCACCCCCAAAGCCCCACCGGAGCCAAAGCAGGTGTCCAGCAGCCTGGATGCTTAAGGGAGGACTAGCAGACCAAAGGCAGAGCAGTGGCCCCCCAGCCTGTGAGCTCTCTACAGCACAACTCACCTCATCCTTGTACTTGGTGATATAAGAGTAGATCTCATGCAAGGCGCTCATGCTGTTGAACTGGCTGAGATGCAGCCGTGACTGCTCAGCCAGGTACGCACTCATGTCCTGGTCGCTGATGGCCGGCATCTTGGCAATGTCCGAGTAATATCTGCCAACAGATTGGGAGGGGGTTGCGCGTGAGCAGGGTAGGGCGGCAAACTGCCCCGCCCCTGCCCCCACTGCCCTGCCCACCTCTCCACCCAGCTCTTGTAGTTGGGGATGTCCTTGGCATAGAGCAGCTTATTGGAGGGCGAGTCCTTCCCCAGCTTGTGCTCAGACGTGGAGCAGGAGTCCATGAAGGTCTGGGCCACCACCGACAGGCAGGCATCCGTGATGCTGTTCTTGTGGATGTCGAACACAAACTGTGGGTTCTTGATCACGTTCACCCAGAAGCGCAGGGGCAGGCTGCGGGGGCAGGCCCAGGCTCACGGTCAGCTGCAATCGAGGGGAGCTGCCCCTCCCTCTGGGCCTCAGTTCCCCTTCACAGAGTAACAAGTGCAAAGTGCCCTTGCTGCCCTCCTGGATCTGACCTCCAAAGTGGGTGTGGACATCTGTGTAGATGGGGAAACTGAGGCCCAACAAGGCTCAGGGCTTCTCAGTGAGTGCCCCCTGCCACCCAACCATGGCCATGCAGCCTCCCCTCTGGTTTCCTGGACCCTGGTGCCCTCAGAGTAATGCTTGAAAGGGACCTGAGCCCAGAGGCACACATGCACGGGCTCTGCACTCCAGTGGGGCTGTCAGGGCCGTACACAGGTGAGCATGAAGCATGCTGCCGGCACTCTGCTACCGTCACCTTTGTCACCACAACTGGCTATCTCAGAGCTGGCCCACTGAGCCTTGTTACTCAGGCTGCAGCCCATACTCACACCTGCATGCCGCTCTCATGAAGCAGAGGCGGAGGCTCCTAAAAGCTGAGGCAGAGGGTGTGCCAGACCCCAGTGGGGACTGGCCAGCTAGAACAGGGCCAAGTCCAGCACTTCAGGGTGGCTCAGCCCAGGCTGCACCTGGCGGTGCCCCAACCCCAGGGGCCCTGAGCATGGCTCCTTTTCAGAGCAGGGGCCCCACCCAGCGCTACCAGTTGCTCTTCCAGGTGTGCCGCACATCGGCGTCATGGATCTGGTGCTTGTCGGCCTGCTCATCTAGGAAGTCAAACATGTACTTGATGGCCAGGGGCAGAGCGGAGCCCCGGTGCGCCGTGCTGAAGATGGTCTCAAACAGGTCATCCACAAACTTCTGCAGCGTGCCCTGCGGGTGGGCAAGGGCACAGAGCTCCAGGGGCTCTGCCAGCTGCCCTCACCTCCTGGGTGACCCGGACAGGTGGCCACCGGAACGAGCTGAGGACAAGGGGCACCTTCCGAGCTTGGCTTCCCCAGGCTGGGCCCAGCTGTCCCTGTGTTCCCCATGCGCACCTCCCCCCGCCCCCAGCCCACCTTGGTGGCTAGCAGCCGAGTCAGGTAGATCTCTGAGACCATCTTGCTGCCACGGTCGCCCTCGCGCTGGTCCAGATGGTCATGGTTCTTCACCAGGTGCCACAGTTTGGTGCCGCTCTCCAGGTCCGGCGTGATCATGGGTGTGCGGGAGCGCAGGCTGTCGGGGCTGCTGGCCGTGCGCAGCATGCTCTCTGCGGCGCCAGACCGTCAGCCACAGCCCACACTGCACCCACCCTGCCTCTGAGGGGCAGCACCCCCACCTAAGCCTCAGGGTCCTCATCTGAAAGCTGCAGACAGCACCCCAGCCCCCCTAAACTTTTCGGGGATGGCCAGTGACACCCAGGAGGTGGCCTGAGTGAAGATGGATACGTGTAGCAGGGAAGAGGCCTGGCCTACAGAACGTGAGGGACAGGCCTTGACAGCGCCCTCCCGCCCACCCTGGCCCACTGCAGAGTCCTGTCCACCCGCCGCCTGCCCTCACCGTATCTGCTGAGGGACTTGGTGAAGGTGGAAGAGTTGGAGATGTTGTAGGCGGAAGTCTGCTTGGGCACCAGTGCCACTGAGGACCCGTCTGTCACCTGTGGGCAGAGGCCGGGGACACCGTGACCATCAAGATGCCATTGTGATGCCAGGCCCCTGCCCACCCATCGAGACCCCAGTGACCACCCTGGTGCTGTGCACCTCACCACTCAGCCTCAGCTTCCCCATCGGGATAGCTCCAGGGCCACTGGGAGGCCCTGCCGGCCCAATGCAGGGCCTGGGGTGGCCCTCACATGCACGTGTCTGCCTCTGTCCCCTTTCTCTCTGATAGGCTGGGCCATCCTCCAGCTCAAGGCTCCTGACCCCAGTACCATGCTGCTGTGGGGCCCAAGGGGAGGAGGTCGGGTCACCTGGTAATGAGCCAGAGTGTTCAGCCTCTTCCAGTCATTGTCGATCTTGGTGGTGACGTCCTCGTCCTGAAGGATGATGCGTGCCATACGGCCTTGGCGCCACTCTGCAGGGAGGAGGGCGCTGGAGGGCAGGGCTGCCGGGCAGCTCTCACCTTGGCACAGAGCTCCAGATGCCCCGCCCCTGCCCAGCACACACAGGCCCACCTGTCCAGACATCACCTGGTACAGGTGGATGGGGCCTGAGGACCCATCACTCCCGCCCGCTGCTCACCCAGGTCCATGTCCCCAGCCTTAGGCCGCTGGGAGTAGGGCACACCCTTGTATACAGCGTCCAGCAGCTTCTCCTTGACCTGGGTCACCGTGTCGCAGTTCAGCCCCTTCACCGGCACCTCTGGTGCATTCTCGTTCTCGGGGTTCACACAGTTCAGGGTCTGTGGGGGTGGGGTAGGCACATCAGCCCTACCTCCCAATGGGGCAGTCCCCGGGCAGGGCGCAGCCGCTCACCAGCGTCTTGTAGTCAATCTGCTGCCGGATGAGCTTGTCCTCGCTCAGGGAGTAGCGCGCCTCGCCCGTGATCGCGTCGATGGGGCCCTTCTCCATCTGCTGCTTGATGGCACAGTGCAGCATGAACAGCGGCTCCCCAGCGCACTCCTGCAGTGGGGGGCAAGGCTGGCTGACACCCCACTTCCTGTCCCCCACCCAGCCCTCAGCCCTCCCCAGTGTCACCCACACTGTCCCCCACAAACAGAAACCGACCACCTTTCCAGACTCTTCTTAGGAGCCAAGGATATGCTTAATCCCAAAGCCCAGCAAATATCCAAGAATATCAGTTAGAAAACAAACCTATCACCCTCCTGAGTACCAATGTGAAAATTCTAAATCAATGATGGTGAGGGGGCACCCAGGACTCCCTTAGCACACCTGCCTTTCAATCATGTTTCCTTTGTGAACTTAGCTTCATTAAGTTAGCCACAAAAAAGCAGCAAAGGGGGCAGACGGGGATGCAGAGACACTCACAGCTCTTCCTGGAGGATGACCAGAGGACAAGAACCCTGCAGGGTTTCCTAAGACCGGACACTCCCAGAGGGTTCCCAGGCCTGGACCTCAGAGGGTAAAAGGAGTGAAGCTACAGACTCGGGGGTCAGGGGAGTGAGACTATTAGCTCAAGGTCACCTAGCCAATAACTAGAGAAGTCAGGATTTAAATCTAGATCCCTCTGCTCCTTAACAGCCAGGTGTCTTCAGAGGAGGCAGCAGGCTCCCATGCCACCTCCAACCACTTCTACAAGGTGTGCCCAGATGGTGCAAAGGAAGAATCGTGGGCCTCAGAGGTGAGGGTGGAGGAAGGCCAGGGACCCCAACCTCACCAAGTCTTCCCTCTCAGCGCCCTCAGGTCCTTACACAATGACAATGGAGAGAAAAGGTGACAGCCTCAGACTCTTCCCTGCCCCAGCCCTGAATGCCTAGAAAGAAACTGCCCAACACAAAGTGTTGCTTTTTCAGCACAAAGATAACAAGTACGGGGAGTTCAGTAAATGACATTAGGACAAGCACTCACCCATGGTGGTAGGGAGATTGAGTTAGATCCCTACCTCACACCACACACAACTAAGAATCACTTCCTAGAGTGACAGAGGAGCTGTAAAAGACAGGAAGTATTTTTTAAAACTTCTTTAATTACTGAAAGAAAAAGCCCTAGAAAAATAGGCAAGGATAAAAATAGCAACTTAGCTTCAAAGAAAAATAAAAGTAGCTGATCAAGCATGTGAAAAGATGCTCATCTTGTTGAAGAAACGCCAGCTAAAGCAACAACCTGCCAGTGTGCACTTCTCAAAGTGGCAAAAGCGAATGAGGCTGATAAAGCAGGCGCTATCCCAGGCCCGGGTAAGATTCTCAGACACTGGACTGGGACCACCGTTCTTGTAGGACACCACAGCAGCAGGTATCACGAGTGAACGTGGCTGAGTGCTGAACTCATTCTCCCGGAAATCCACTTACACATCAACACAGTAAGGAGAGATGGTGCACAGGAAAGCTGGCTAAGGTCTCGGCCCTGGTGGGGAGAAACGTGGCCCTCCGTCTAGCAGCAGTGTGACAGTGAACAGGTGCCCAGGCATCCGCACTGCAGAACAGCATGCCGTGATCAGAACAACGCCTCTGTCATTACCTGTACAGGAGGGCCTAACACTTTGTCCAAGGTGAGGGGGAGTGAGGTGCAGGGCAAAATGTGTGCTACTAAAAAAAAAAACAACACCAAAAAACCCCCTCTCTAAAAAGAAAAAAACTCTACTATTAGGATTTCTTCTTAACATTAAGAGCATGCTCTAGCATAGATATTTGCTTCAGTCCAGAATCCAGCCTAGGAGGGCAGGTGCAAAAACACTAATGGTGTCAGAGTGGAGGCACTGCTGTGTGTGCAAATGTGCTCACATGCACAGGGACCACAGTGCTAGTTAAAGCTTTTGTTTCTACAGACAGCAAGGGATAAAAAAGATCCAGGTTGTTGGTTAAAAAGAATTTGGATTTTGTGGCCGGGTGAACAGCTCATTGCCTATAATCCTAGTGCTGTAGGAGGCTGAGGTGAGAAGATCGCTTGAGCCCAGGAGTATGAGGTCAGCCTGGGCAACACAGAGACTCTGTCTCTATAAAAAATTGAAAAATTAGCCAGGTGTGGTGATGCACAACCATACTACTAGTTATTCAGGAGACTGAATGGGAGGACAGTTTGAGGCTGGAAGTTCAAGGTTATAGAGAGTTATGATTGTGCATTGCACTCCACCCTGGGTGACAGAGTAAGACCCTGTTTCTAAACAAACAAACAAAAAAAAAAACCCCTGCATTCTCAAGGTTCATCCATGTCACAGCATGTATTGGAATTTCCACCCTTCTTAAGGCTTAGTGATAATGCATTGTACGGGTGGAGGACTGTGTTTATCCACTCCTCTGTTAATGGATGCTGGGGTTGCCTTCATATTAGGCTTAGTGAAATGAACCGGTCACAAAAAGATAAGTCTGTGATTCCACTTACGTAGTGGAATCAGGTACCTAGTGCAGTCAAATTCACAGAGACAGAAAGAATGATGGGAAAAGGGGAGTTAGTGTTTAATGGGGCAGTTTTTCAGTTTTACAAGATGAAAAGAGTTACAGGGATGGCAGGTAGTCATGGCTCCACACTCTGCATATATTTGGCACCACTGCACTGCACACTTAAAAATATAGCTGAGATGGTAAAATCTGTCATGTGGATTTTATCACAATAACAAAAATGAGCTACTAAACCATGAAAAGAAATGAAGGAACTTTAAATGCCTATGATTAAGTGAAAGAAGCCAATCTGAGAAGACCCTCATGCTGTGTGATTCTAACTATACGACATCTAAGAAAAGCAAATGCTGGGCAGATGGATGGCGAGTATGGCCAGGGGCTGGAGAGGGTAGGGGAAGAATGGAGGGAGAGGGTGGAGGACGGTTAGGCAGTGCCACTACTCTGTGCAATGCTGCAGTGGTGACACACACAGAGCCACAAAATGCACCACACATACATCAACTATAGACCCAAAGAATCTACAACACCAGGGGTGACCCTCATGTCAACTACAGCGTCACAGAATATACCCTGCGTCCCCTACAGACTCACAGAATACACCACACCAGGGTGAACCCTCATATCAACTATGGACCCTCAGAATGCACCACACCAGGGTGAACCCTCATATCAACTACAGACCCTCAGAATGCACCACACTAGGGGTGACCCTCACATCAACTACGGACCCTCAGAATGCACCACACCAGGATGAACCCTCATATCAACTATGGACCCTCAGAATGCACCACACCAGGGTGAACCCTCACATCAACTACAGACCCTCAGAATGCACCACACTAGGGGTGACCCTCACATCAACTACGGACCCTCAGAATGCACCACACCAGGATGAACCCTTATATCAACTACGGACCCTCAAAATGCACCACACCAGGGTGAACCCTCATATCAACTATGGACCCTCAGAATGCACCACACCAGGGTGAACCCTCACATCAACTACAGACCCACAGAATGTACCACACAAGGGTAGACCCTCATATCAACTACAGACGATCAGAATGCACCACACCAGGGTGAACCCTCACATCAACTATAGACCCACAGAATGCACTACACCAGGGTGAACCCTCATATCAACTATGGACCCACAGAATATACCACACCAGGGTGAACCCTCATATCAACTACGGACCCACAGAATGCACCACACCAGGGTGACCTTCACATCAACTATGGACTCTGTGTGACACTGACATGTCAGCAAAGATGCAACCCTCTGATGGGGTGCTGACAGTGGTGGAGGCTGTGGGGTGTGGGGGCAGGTGCACATGGGGAAGCTCTATACATTGTGTTCCATTTCACTGGGAACCAAGAACTGCTCTAAAATCTATCTTGAAAAAAATCTAGTATCTGAAAAATCTAAAATCTATCTTTACCTCTTGGCCTTGGCCCTGCCCCTGCCTGCTGAGTCTCACTGCTGATGAGGGGGAGGTGGGTCAGTGTGGCTGAGAGCCCCAGTGCTCAGCCTGCATCCTTCATGCACTCCCAACCATGCTGCTGCCCTGCCTCCCACCTCCTACATGGCCTCCCTACTGCTCACTCTGCTCCTTGTCCTGCCTCCCATGTTTCCTATCTACTTACTGTCTCTCCCCACAGTGAGTGATGACGCTTAGCCAGGGGCCCTGCCTGTGCACCATCTGTGTGCCCATCACTATGAGCTCAGCACCCTGCTAAGGGAAAGTGAGTGCCCCACTGGCTAGCAGAGACACAAGGCATCAACTCCAGTCACTGGGGGCCACAAAGACTAGGCAGGAAGTACACACTTAACACACATGCTGAATGTTTCTCCCCTCCTACAATGTGGGTCTGTCCCCCAAGCCTTCAGATCTTTCAAGGGAAGCCAGATACCTGGTCTGTACAATCTACCAGTACCTAAACCACCAGAAGCCAACTCAACTAAATAAAGCCCACCTGGACTCAGGTCCAGCCAGCGTCTGCAGACTGTAACCTCTGGCCTCCACCTGTTCTGTGGATGGCCAGTGCCTGTTGGTAGAGGTGCAGCAGTTGGTCCAAGGGACAACCACTGGGAAAACCCAGTAGCCACCCACTCCCCACGATGGGCAACAGATAGGAGTCCCTGAAAACCTCCCTAGGCTGACCCATTAGTGAGTGCTGGACCCTTAGAGACCCCTGCCCAGGCACCTTCCTCCTCCTTAGCCTAGCAGCCCAGCTCCAGGGTACAGCACAGACTTGGCCTAGAATCTAAACTCCCACACCTGTCCCAGTGGGCTGGGAGAAGAGTGGACAGCCTCAGAAGAAGGGTGGTGGGAGAGGAGCCAACGGTCCTGTGTCCTGGGGGCCAACCCCCTGTGCCAGTGCCTGGCTGAGACCCATCTGCTTTCCATCCTCCAGTGCTGCCCTCTGAGCCCCAGCTCCTACCTCTGTATTCTCTCACCTGTCACTCTGCCCGATACCCACTCTCCTCCTCCAGCCCTTGCCTACCTTGAGGAACTTGTATAAGAGAAAGGTGAACCAGTTGGTCAACATCTTCTCTGCCACTGACTCCGTCCTGGGGGCACAGAACCAGGTAGAGTGGTGTCATTCCATCTTCCCAGCAGGCACAGGGCTACCCACCAAACCTGCCCCACCCTCCACTCCTCTTCTGTAGCTCTAACAAAAGGTCCTGCATGAGTAGGCATCAGGGGATGGCACGGAGACCCCTGCACTTCCCCCTAGAACCTAAGCCTTTGAACACAAAAACTCAGGGCCTGGTACCAGTGAGCCACAGACAGTGCCTGGCACTTCTGGGTCTTCATTATCAACACCTGGTGATAAGGAAGGTGACATCTGAAGCACTTGCTCAGAGGACCTGGGGACGTCTTCTGCCCCTATCCAGCAGGAACCACCATGATAGCACCTCCAGCCCTACAGGCTTGTAGCAGTAGGAGGCCTGGGCCTGCTGCCCCAGAAGCCCCTCCCCCCACAGTGCCAGCCCCACAACCAGAGCAAGCCCCCCACTACAGTCCCAGACCTCACAGCACACCCCCACCATGCCACACCCACAGCGCCCACTGCACAGTCACCTCCGTAGCAACAGCTTGGGGTGGTTCTTGCTCTCTAGGTTTTTCTCAATGAGGTCCGACAGCAGCTGCTTGAGCACACCTGTGGCGTACTCCATCTCGCCCTGCAGCGCTGTCATGATTAGCGAAGCCACGTTCCCGCGGTCACGCATGGAGAAGCTGCGCTGCGCCTCCAGTGTGCGGATGAAGGTCAGCAGGAAGTGCTTCTTGGTCAGCAGCTGCCCGAACAGCGTCAGTGACTTCTCTACATTGGCCTGCACCTATAAGAGCACACAGGCCTGCTGGGACCATAGGTGTGTCCAGCTAAGAGATAGGAGATGGGAGAGGCAGGGCCACAGGACAAGCCTTGCGAGTGAGTGACTATGCCAGGACTCATCAGACACAGGGGTGGGGCTCCAAGCTCAACGGCTGGAAGCTGTGCCCCTCCCTACTACCGTTAGGACAGCCTTTGGCCAAGGAGCCCAAAGGCACAGCACAGCAGCCACCTATGAACACCTGTGCACACAGGGCCAGCAGTGAGGTGCATGTGAGGCCTGGTGCTGCCCTCTTCACAGCCAGGCCTGCAGCAGCTCAGAATAAGCCCGACAGGATGCCCCACCCTGGGTGCCAGGAGTGCATCTACACATGTGAAGGTCTCTGCCTCACACAGCCCAGGGACACAGAAGCCCAGAGAGGGAAGAGGCTTCATCAGGGCCTGCAGCATGGAGGTAGGAAAAAGGGGTGCAGGTCTGGCTGGCTCTAGAGCCCTTACTTTCTCTCTTGTCCATACCAAGGCTTGTCAGGGCAAGAGGTTCCCTACCAGGCTGTGCCCATATGCCACTGGTGTCATCCAAGTCCCAGCCAGGTAGACAGGTGGCAGCCCAGGCAGACACACAGACACAGCTAAGAGAGATACTAGGACAGAGACTAGAGTGTATGGAACCCCCGACAGGGCAGCAATCACAGGGAAGGAGATGCAGCTGGAAGAAGAGACAGGAAGGCCCAAGAGGGTCTTCTGCCAACAGAGCCACATGGGAGTGGGCTCCCCAACATCCAGGTGTGCAGAGATGGGGCACCTTTATCCAGAGAGTATGATTCAGCTGACCTGAGTCTCTGGTTGTTGTTAGCTGGGAACTGAGCCTCTGGCCTGCTGATGGAAGGGCCCCCAGAGGACCTGGTGACAGCCCCTTTACTTATCAGGCTCTCTGCCAACAACTTGGGTGCTGCCAGCATCTACAGAGCAAAGCCCAGCTCTCTGAGACGCCCATGCTATGTCACCTGTGGCTCCCACCCCAAATAGCACCTACACCTCCTAGCACCCTGCCTGCAGCCCTCAAAGCTTAGTGTCCAGAGCCATCCAGGAGACCAGGCTGGCTGAGCGGCAGATGAGCCTAGCCAACGGATGCAGGCCTCAATGAATCGCCCCAGGGAAGTGCCAGGAACCCAGACTAAAGGGTGGTTTGCTGGGCTGAGGCTGGGGCCAGCCCTCCTGTGGCACTGTAGGGAGCAGAGTTATACTGGCCAGTCCTTGCCCCAGCCCTGCCTGCCAGTACCCTCCCCACTTACAGGCTGAGGGTCCTAGGTGCCCTGGCTGCCACATGCCATTCAACTGTCCACTAGCTGATGGAAGGGCCCCCAGAGGACCTGGTGACAGCCCCTTTACTTATCAGGCTCACTGCCAACACCAACAAAGGCACAGCATAGCAGCCACCTCTGAGCACCTATGCACACAGGGCCTGCAGCCCTACCTCCATCTCCTTGAGCACAGGGTGATCCTCGATCCCAGGGAAAAGCACACGCATGGCATACGTCCGGTAGTCAAGGAACGGGATGCCGGCGCCATCCAGGTCATTGGTCAGCTCATGGATGTCCGTCTGCAGCTCTGCGAAGGCTGTGACCAGATGTGGTATCAGAGGAAGCCCACCAGCTCCCCAGGCTGCCCCACTCTCCCTGTGGCTCCAGCTCACCCACCTCTCAAGGCCAGGCTGAAAGCCTGGTTCTGCCACTTACTGAATTTATGACCTTAAAGAAACCACTTTGCCTTCCTGTGGCTGAGTTTCTCTAGTCCAAACATAAAAAATCCTCTCCCTCCCTTAGCTGTAATGGTATTAACCAGAACAGGAGCAGAGGGGACACCAGCACCAGAGCCAGGCTGGGCAAGGCCTCCTGCATCTCGTATCTGTCATGTAAAGGTGGAGCAGCTCCACAGTGTGGCTCTGTGGGCTACCTGGGACAGGAAGGTGTGGCCAGGTATGAGCGGGGGGCTGGGCAGCAGAGGTCCCAGGGTTGCAGGCTGTCCCCAAAGCCCCAACATCTGCCACACACACACCCCAGGCCCAGTGGGCCCCTCTACACAGCCCATTTCACCCTGCTCTGAGCCAGCTCTGCCTTTCAGGAACAAAGGCAGGCAGGGCAGTGGGCAGGCCCCACAGAACATTCCAGAGCTGTGAGCTGTCAGCCCTGCGGCAGACCAAGGGACACACTATCTGATCAGCAGCCAGAATAGCACCAGCAGACTCTGGAGATTTCTGGCAGATTTAATTAAGAGCCAGGGCTTCATCTCCTGCGCACTGCTGCCTGCCAGGTCTGGTATCTCCACCTGGCCAGCCCTGGAGTGGCCACCAGCCACCACACTCACACATGAGCTGACAGACATAGGTACCTACATGCCAGCCTCACCACCCAGGCTACCTGTCCCCTGTTTTCCCAGGACTGTCCACAGGGCTGGAGGCTGGGTGAGCCCCAGCAATCACTGGGCCATTTGGGAATATCCAGGACTTGAGGGGCTCCTGGGATGGAAGACTCTTATGTTTTAAGACTGGTCAAGTTCTGGGCTAGAAAGACGCCTGAAAATCAGTGGAGTCTATAGCACTGGGATTTCTGCTGCCCACTCCCTCCCACACCTGGCCACACCTTCCTTTCCCACGTGGCCCAAGGAGAACAAGGCTTCAAGCTCTGGCCTGCAGCAAAAACACTGTTAGTGTCTGCTGCCTACAGCTGTGAGCACGCGCTAATTAATAGCCACAAAGTGCTCAAAGTCTCGCCTGGCACCTAACAAACGTTCCATAAGTGTTGCTGATTATCAACGCTGCTCCATTCCCATCTCAACAGCCAAGAAGACTTCTGCGCTGGAGTTTGGAGAGGCCACGGCAGAGTCAGGGCCCCCCAGCCCAGGCTGGCTAAGCACCCACAGATACCAGCCCTGAGCTCCTCCCTCATCCCACTAACCACACATCCAGCCAGAGAAGCCAGTTTGGTCTGACGTCCGCCACCTAGGGCCAGGGCTGCTATTGCCTCCAGCCCAATGCACCGACTGAGGAGCTGGCCCTAGCCACCAGCCTGGTAGCCCAGGGCCTCTGTCCTAGGTCTCCATGGTTCCAGACCGGCCCCTATCTCAGAGCCCACCTCCCTATTCCCAGCATTAACCCCTGCCCCACCCCAACCAATTGGACCACAGCATTCAACACACGGCCAGGGAGTCTGGAGATGCCAGCCTGGAGTCAGGCCTGGCTCTAACTCTGGCTCACAGCCTCTCTGAGACGTGTTAGCAGACAGATGGCCCCTGGGGCCCTCCTGTGCTCCACATAGAACCTCTGTTCCACCTTGGGGCAACCATCCTAGCTCTCCCTGCCAACCCTCAAGCTGCTGTTCACCTACCTCCTCTGAGCCCACAGCCAAAATATCTGCAGCTCCTGCCTAGGGCAATCTACCACTCTCTCTCTGGGCCCTACCCCATCTGTTCCTGGGTGTCCAGCTGCCCTTGGTCAGGGGCTTTGAGGAAGCAGGCCCAAGGAACAGAGGAAGGTGAGGAGGTGTGGCTGTCAGGGACAGGCTCAGTGACTATCCAATGGGATGAGCACACCCAGGAGAGATACTGGTGCCTTGGAGAGAGGAGCCCTGCCACAGACAGACTCCTGCACACAGGGCAGGAAGGCCTGCCACACTCTGGGCTCCCCTGCACAGGGCCCCCATGTCGCACCCTGCTGCAGACAGTCTGAGCTGATTTCTGCCACGCACATGAAAGGAGACAACACACAAATTAAGAGCAAGATGTGGCCAGACCCTCTCCCACAAAAGCTCTTCAAAGACAAAGGCCAGCCCAGGGACCCAGGACAGGCAGGGCTCCCCCTCACTGCACGAACACATGTACACACTCCACCACCTCCCCCCCCCCGAACTTGGAACCAGCTGTGTCTGCCATTCAGGGCACCCAGCAAGATGGGCACTGTCATCGTGCCCGTTCTACAGATGAGGAGAATGAAGCACAGGCTGCAGCCCTGTTCAAGCACCTGTCCTCTCCCTGGGACCTGGACCAGCACAGCTAGCCACTGGGCACAGCATGAACCCAGCTGGAGTGGGTGGGTGGGACAGACCTTGGCTCGGAGGAGGCAGCTGCCCCAGTGGGCCCTCAACCCCACATCCCAACCGACCTTCCTTGCACTCGAGCGCCACTCGGGACTCCAGGTTGTCCATCTGGAGCTGCAGCCGCTTGAGCGTGCGGTCAGCATCACGTGACTTGCGCTTGTATGCAATGAGCACAGCCACGATGACCAGCAGCAGGAGGCCCCCGCCACCACCAATGCCCACAGTGGCGGGCAGTGTCAGCAGGCTGTCCGAGTACATCTGCAGCATGCCAGGGGAGAACTCGAAGCCACCGGCCCGCACCTGCCGAGGAGTGGATAGAGGCCACTCAGGAGCCACCTGTGCTCCTCAGCAGAAGTCCTTGAGACCCCCCTAGGGCACCTGCCTGAGGGCAATGTCTCACCAATAGGGCCCACAGGGGGCAGCAGGGGTCAGGATGCAGAGACCAGCCAGGGAAGCCCCAGGGCTCACAGAGACTGAGTGGGAGGTGGGGAGGTGGTCTGGGGGGCTCAGGTAGAGGATGATAAGGCTTGCACGCCAGCCAGGCCTGCCCTTGAACCTGGTGTCCCTGGGCTGGGATCCCGAGTTGAGGTGTCTTGGCAGGAGGGTGAGGGACGCACCGTGACCTTATGCTGCCCTGTGAGGTTGGGTGATTCGCACAGCAGCTGTGTCTCAGACACGGTGAGTGTACAGGGCGTAGAGCCGATGAGCACCGTATAGTTGAGCCGGGAGTTGCCAGGTGCTGGCGGTAGGAGGTTCCGGCCCTGCATGGAGTAGGATGAGTCACAGCTCAGGGCTTTGCCCAGCCCAGCCCACCCCACACCAGCTCACCTGGCCCCAGCCCAGCCCACCCCACACCAGCTCACCTGGCCCCAGTCCAGCCCACCCCACACCAGCTCACCTGGCCCCAGCCCAGCCCACCCACACCAGCTCACCTGGCCCCAGTCCAGCCCACCCTACACTAGTGCACCTGGCCCAGGCAGAGGGGCAAAAGCTACCTACCTTCAGAATGAGTGGAGAGCTAGGCTTCAGCTCCAGGAGCCCAGTGGGGCTGAGTGGCTCCAGCACGGGGTCAGGGTAGTACAGGAAGGAGGAGGAGTTTAGCACCAGCAGGGCACGCACGTTGTCCATGACAAAGCCCAGCTCCTCAGGCCGCTCCCCCAGCTCTGGTGGGCTGCGCACGGGGTTGTCCACGGAGGGCGCACGGCACAGCATGGTGGTGTCGTTGTACACCATGCAGCTCTGGGGACACATGGCACAAGTGCGCTGGGCCGGCCCTCGCACAGCAGCAGGTGGTGCCCTGCCCATGGCTGCAGGCCCTCCACAGGTCAGTGCCAGGCCCTCCCCTGCACCAGGCAGGGGTGCTGTAGCCTCAAGGCCTCAGGCACACCCAAGGCTGGCAGGAGCCAAGCAGGGGCAGGGGCATCACCAACAGGAGCCCCAGCCCAGGCAAAAGCACAGATGGCAGTGGGGACAGTGAGGCAAGTGGCATGAGGAGCAGGAACTCACATTTTCCCTTTCAACGCCGCCATACTTCGCCCGGATTCGGGGTTCACGAACCGTGGCCAGGTTGGTGCCTGTGACTGTGAGGAGGGTCCCACCACTAGGACACAAGGGATTGGGGGAGTCACTGCATGTTGCCAGGGGCCAGCACAAGGCTCAGGGCAGACACATGGCTGACAACTCAGCGGGACAGGGCCCACCGCCCCCAAAGACAGCAAGCAGGTAAAAGCTGTCTGCACCAAACTCCCTGTGGTGCAGAGCAGGCAGGAAGAAGAGCTACCAGGCCCCAGATAGAAGCTTGCAGGCTGGGCCTGGTCCCAGTGTGAGGGACAGGGCATGGGTGGCCGGGCCACAGCCTCCCACCTGTTGATGCTCCACTCAGGGTCAATCCTCAGGATGGTGGGGTCCTCTGTGTAGTTGTACTTCACCTCAGGGTTGGTGAGCTGGGCTCGGTTGATGTTGACGACAATGGGAGTACTGCCAGGGCTCTGCCCGGGGGGTGTCAAGCACCGGATTTCCCGGGAGTTCCTCCTGGAGGGGCCAAGATGGACAAGAGGCAGTGTCAGGAACTTGTGCAGAGCTCACGCCCCTAGAGCTGAGCATCCAGGTTCCCTCACACAAGCCACATGAAGGCAGGTGAGGCACTGAACCTCCAGGCCTCACTGCCCGTCTGTAGAACAGGACCTGCCTCCAGTGGGCTGTCCACAGTCGCCGCAACACACCCTCCCAGGGCCATGGAAGTCTGGTCCTAGTCTTGGGCCTGGCCTGGCCTTCTCTTGCTCCCAGCCCCCTCAGGCCTGCCCTGACCTCTGACTCCCAGGTCTGCTTCCTGACAGCTCCCATGGCCGAGGGCCCTTGCCTCCATGCTCTCCGGACAACCATGGCAAGGGCTTCACACCCCTGGCCCCAGCCTCTGCCATGGTATCCAGTAGCAAGTCTACTCTGCCACTGCTGGAGATGGTCAGGGAGGCCAGGCCAGGGCCCTGACCTCTCCCACCTGTCCCAGGCTCCTCTCTCTCAGCCTGTGATCCAAGGGGGTCCAGGGCCCACTCCTGCTGCCCTGAGGGTGGCAGCCTCCTTCCCTCTTGATACCTGTAGTGATCTGAAAAACAGGACTTTATCACCCACCCCTGGGCTGTGAGGAGACTGAAAGAGCTGGTGGGGCAGGGGTAACTCTGATGGGCAGGCCGTCAGGTACTGCCCCCTGGCCTGACCCTGCTCCTTCACTAACAGCTGGGGGCCCTGCAGCTGCCAGGCTGCTCACTGCAAACACCAATGATTATGCTGATAACGGGTAATTATCACAGGAAAATATTTAAAGGGACGTTCCATTATCAACCTTAATCTAAAATTATTCACTTCAAGCCTCAGGGCTTTTGTTAAGATTTCTGTTTTCTCTTAAAATTTTGTTTAAACACTTCTTACTTTTCACCCAAGGGACTCCCACTGCTCCCAGGGAGGGGTGAGGGGAGGAGGAGGCCATGTTGTGCCCACCCCTGGGGCCGAGCCCTGCCCACCTGCCTGCCCCTCTTCTCCCACCTCAGAGGTAACCCCTGTTTCCATGGTAACCTTCTCCGCCTCTGGGTTTCCATAGTGATCACCCCAGCCAGGCTCTCCATGCCCCGTTGCCTGGGCAACAGCAGCGGGAATACAGCCACCTGAACCAGGAGGAGGTGCAGCCAGCCCGACCAACCCCGTACCAGGAGAAGGAGCAGGGCCGGCCACCAACAGACACAGCCACGTCACTGCCAGCATTCAGGTGGCTCCCCTCGATGCCAATCCAGGTGCCCCCTGACAGAGGCCCGCGGGAGGGGCTCACACGGTAGAAAGTTGGAGTCTGCAGGAAGAAAGGGCTTGGTGGAATTCCTGGGAGGACACCTTTGTGGCCACCTGGTGACAGTCTCCACTCTGCCTGTGTGCATGGCTAGCTATGTCCACATGCCTTGAGCCGGGTCCAGCACAGCAGGAGAGAGACAACAACTCCCCAGCCATGGAGAACAGGAGCAGAATGTGGCTTAACAAGGGAGCCCCAGGGAGGACAGGGGTGTGGCCTATGGGCCTAGGCCAGCCCCTCGCCCAGGAGAGACCACAGCAGCATGCCACGGCTGCCTTCTTGGAGCACAGGGCAGAAGGTGAGGCGGGACTCACCACGAAAGTGAAGCGCTTGGGTGACAGGGCCCGGTAGGGGGGAGAGCAGTCCCGGACGCACACCTCCACCAGGGCGTCGTGGGCCCGCACTGTGCTGGCGTCCCCAATCTCACACACGATCCTAGGAGCACAGGCAGGCCTCAGCAGCTGTGGGGCCCTCCCCCGTCCCAGCAGGCCCATGCCCTCTGCCACACGTACTGCTCGGCACTGATGTACTCGCTCTCCACGGGGCTGCACGGCACCTTGCCCACACGCACGCCCAGACGCACATCCTCGAACCGGAGGCCCAGGTTCTCGCCCGTTATGGTGAGCCGCGTCCCTCCCTGCCTCGGGCCTGTCTCGGGGGACAGCTGCGGGGAGGCAGAGGTTGAGAAGCCTGCGTGCCACCACACCCGGCCCAGGTGGGCCATCCTGCTGGTGAGGGACGTGGCAGGCAGGATGGCACTGGGCAGGTGGGTCTGGCCAGGGCCTACCTTGAGGATCTTAGGGTCGGCACAGCGGCTGCTGCCATGGCGGGCGTGCATCCAGGACACAGGCACGTCAGCTGGGCAGTTGTGGCGCAGGGAGCAGCGGCGCTCGGCCACGCACCAGCCACACTCAAAGCGAGGGTCGGCCTTGAGGCAGAGGCCACAGCTCTCACGCAGGGCTGGGCACTTGTAGAGGTGGGCTGCAGGGAGGGGTCATGGTCAGCTTGGCCCCACCCACCACCCCACCCTGGCAGGGTCTGCACTCACCCTGGATGTTCTGGGGGTTGTCAATGACAAAGTTGCCGTTCCACACCACTGACAGGTTCACGGGCAAGTCACTGATGTCATTCCCCTCATACGAGTACTGTGGGCAGCAGATGGCACGGTCAGGCTCTGGGGTTGCAGGCTACTACCTCCAGACCACAGTGGAGGGTCAGTACTTCCTGGTTGGGGCCTGCATGCCCCTTGCCATCTCTGGGACTGGCCACTGGGAATGGCTTGGCAGGGCCCAGAACCTAGGCTCCTGAGTGAGACTGGCATTTCCAGTCTGGAACCTGACATTTCACAGCAGCTACTGCCCACCAGCCAGCTGGGGGGCCAGCTTCTGCAACCTCCTCAGCTCCCCCCACAAATAGGCATACCCTATACATTGGCTCTCTTCCTAGTTCCACAGCCCCTCCCCACAAGCCAAGCCTCCATCCCCAGCAACCATGTGAGGTGCACTCTGCTTTCCAGGGTCAGCCTCCATTGAGACCTCTCCTCCGAGACCAGCTGCAGCCACAGGAGCCCTCAGCCTCCCTTGAACCACTCCCTGCAATGAGACTGCTGGGAAGCCAGGACTCCCAGCTGAGGCCCACAGACAAGCACCAGGGGTGTTGTAAGAACTTCAGTATCTTCAACTGAGTGAAGCTGGATGGACCAGGACTGCCCTGAGGTGTGAGATGTGTGTGTCCCCCATCACATGGGGCCGGGTCCTCCAGTCTCTCCCAGACCTCTCTGGAGCAGGCCTGGGCTCAGCTGTGTCCCATTTTCTCCACTGATGACCTCAGCTCCCTGCCTGTGCTTGGGAGAAGCAAGGAGCCCAGTCTTTCCAAGTGGCCGCCCAGCAATTCATCATTATTTTATCTGCAGGAATTTAATTGGATCCTATCAAATTCCCTGATACTCCTGCTTCCCTTTAAACACAGCTGAAGGAAAGATAAATGTGGACCTGGAGAGAAGGGAGGGGTGGGAGAGTTGAGGGAGATGGAAAGGAACAGAGACAGACGCTTCATGGCAAGGGAGAGGACAGTGTGGAGACAGGGGCCCGAGAGATGCAGATGGGAGGTGCAGGGCAGACGGGGAGCCAGTGTCAGAGAGCGGGAATGTATGGAGAGGAAGGCAAGCAGACGGAATTCCAGAACAGCCATGGTGACAAGGAGTGACCCTGATGGCCAACCTGCAGCCTGCCCTGCTCTGGGAAGCTGGCTGTGACCTCCCTGCCCACCCTGTTAAGACAGATGAGGGCTCAGCCAAGGGGCCACAGAAGCCAGACCACTGACTTTATCAAGGGGCATTTTAGAGAGTGGGGCCCAACCTAAGCCTTGGCGACAGCTCAGGGACCAGGTCAATCCCAGGAAGAGCCCCCGCTCACCTGACCACACCCTTCCTGAGCAGATGGGAGAAACTAAGGCCTGCTGGCTCGTCATAGGGAGCCAGAGAGCACAGGGCTGGGTCCCCATCACTAAACTCACCAAGCTCGAAAACAGAGCTTTCAAAGTATTGCTGAACTAGATATGAAGCACCAAACATGGCCTTTTCTCCGGCACATAGGCAGTGCCCATCTGGGCATGGCTAGTACAGATTGGTGGGGCCATAGGAGTCGACAGGTTCCAGAGGCCTGACCTTGGCCTTCTTGGGGCAAGGTACCCACAGCTGGCAAACAGCTAGCTGTTCCCCAACATACGCAGACCTGCCCCTCAGCCCAGGACATGGAGACACACGCACGTGGGAGATGCTGCCCACGTGTCCCATCAGGTCTTGCCGCCGAAGTCCACTCCCAGGGTGCCTCTGACTCGTCCCAGTGGCTGACCACCTGTACCACCCTTCGTCAGCAGCACATACCAGGTGGCTGCCAGCCTGTGCCACACCACCCCAGCCTGCTGTCGCAGCCCCTCACCGAGGAGTTCTGGCACTGCAGACTGGAGCTGTTGAAGCGCAGGGCAGTGACCCGGGCCGGGCTGCCCGGGATGTGGAACAGGCACTCGTACCCACGCTGGCCTGACTGTGGCTGCGGCAGGTTCCTCGCGGCCAAGGTGATGGGCTTCACCACACCCACTGGCACGTAGATCTGGGTGGAGGGCAGGATCTGTGGGCAGTCCTGGAGGCGAGAATGCTTCAGGTGAACTTGGGAGCAGCCTGGGGTGCCCCACTGCACCCCAGGCTGCAGTTTGTGTATGGATGGAGCATACACTCCTCCTAGCCCAGCCCTGCTGTGGCCACTTTGTACACTGTCACACCAAAGCCCACAGGGATAGCCAGCTGTGCCGAGGGCTGCACACTGACCAGGGCAAGCCCTCTCCTCTCTGGTCCCAAAATACTCCATCTGGGCTCTAGGACCCCGTCATCCTGGGGACTGAACAAGCCTCATCTGGGCCACAGCTGAAAAGGCCCCTGAGGAAAAGCAGGGGAGAACTTGGGGCTTGAGCTCTATGCTAGGAGCCCAGGGAGTCTAAAAATAGCCAGAGCTCAGCAGAAAAACAGCCTGGGACCCCAGGGCCCCTAGCACCTCAGCAACAATAACTGATGCAAGGGCCCAGCTTTCTTGCAGCACGGCTGCTTCCAGCCTCCAGAGGAAACAGGCCCTCGGGAACACCGCTGAGCCAGGCTTTAAATAGGGAGGCTGAGAACAGGCTGTAATCCCCAAGCCTCCAGCAGCTCCCAAGGAGGGCACAGCACAGGAACAGCTCTGCAGAGATGCTAGGGGCCCCAGGAGAGGATTCTGGCTTAGCCCCCAGGGGTCAAGGGAAGCACAGCTCAGAAGGCATGGCCAGGCAAGCTGACCACCAACTGCTGGGTCTGCAGGGATGCTCCCATGTCCGCTGGAAAGAGGCAGGGAGTGGAGCTTGCACCTCCCCAACACAGCACATACAGCCCCAGTGGGGAAGCATCACAGGCAGGCTGGCCTGCACCTACACCAGCACTTCCCTGGCTGTTAGGTGCCTAGCACTGCTCACTGAGACTCAGGCTGGAGCTTCATCATGACTGGGAACACACTGGGCACGGCACCCTGGGCCCAGCCATGAAAAAGGGGTCAGCTCAGGACCCAGCCTGTATGAAGACTGAGGACAACCACAGAGAAGCCTGGGCCTGCTCAGTGCCTGTGGTTCCAGGAACGCTTGTGGCCAGTGGCAGGCGGCCCAGGGCAGGTTCCCCTAGCATGAGGCCCAGCACTGCCCCCACCGCACTACAGCATGGGTATAGGCAACCCCTACCTGCCCACCCTGTGACCTGAGGATGGCACAGGATGGCCTGGCCCCTGGCCACCTCTGCCCTCCTAGCTCCAAGCCACGCTGGTCCTCTCCAGGCGCCACTCCCACCTCGCTCCTACCCCTACACCTGCCACCTCTTCCTGGTATCAGCAGGGTATCTGTCTTCCAATCATGGATTCTAGAACTCAGGAAGCAGCCAGAGAGGACAAGCTCGGGGACCTTCTGGGCCCGACTGCAAGTTGGGCCTGAGCTGAAAGTCCACTGACCACCTGACTCCACAGACCCCACTCTGGATCTCCCTGAGCCAGTCAGTCCAGAGCCACTGTCCAGTGGTCCCCAACACAGTCACCTGGTAAAAAGGCCAGAGGTCCCTTTGGGGCAGGCAGGGAGAAAGATTCACACTACACATACTTGACAACACAGCAAGGTCCTTCCTCCAGGGAGCCCAGTCTCCCCTGCGTGCAGGGTTTTGGGGTCTGTAAACTGGCTCGGGTCTAGGGGATGACTGAGGCCCAGAACCTACCCTCACTACTCAGCTCATCACACTCTGTTCCTATGACTTGGGACTCTTCTCCTCACAGGGACCAAGAAAGAGCTAAGTGGACTGCCCACATCCTTTACTGCTGGGGATACAGTGACTTGCCCAGGGTCCAGCCTCTCATGGCATCTCTCAGGCTGGCAGGAGGAGAGGTCAAGGCATAAGGGACAAGGCTAGGGAAGAGGGCGGGGACAGGACTATCCTGGGGAGGTGCCAGCCACACCTCTCCATTCAACAAAGCAGTCTGACAGTGGCACGCCTCATAGGGAAGTTCTAACACAGCGGTTCTCAACCTTCCTAATGCCTCCTAATGCCGCGACCCTTTAATATAGTTCCTCAAGTGGTGATCCCCAACCATAAAATTACTTTCGTTGCTAATTCATAACTGTCATTGCTACTGTTATGAATCACAATGTAAATATCTGATATGCCAGATGTATTTTATTGTTACAAAGGGATCACAACCCACAGATTGAGAACCTCTGCTCTAATGTGTCACTCTGGTAGAGTGTGAGCTCCATTCCTGGGGTCCACATGGGGCCCCCGTCAGGCTCTGGGTAGAGGCACCACTGGCCTCAGTACCCAGCCCTTCCTATGTGCACAGCACACTGGTCACTCCCACCTCAGAGCAAAGCAAACAGCCTGAGAACACAAGGAGCAAGGCAAGCATCCTCAGAGACCTGTTCCACCCTGGGCCACCCTCCCCAGGGGAGCCAGACTTGAATGTCCCAGCTGGAGGCTGGGCAAAGATGTCTAGGACAAAGACCACAGAGCTGGGGAAGGTCCATGCTCCCTGGTGAGAAGGCGCAGAGAAGTGGCCTGGGGGAGGGGCATGGGGCTGCTGCTCAGCACTACACACCAGACTCCTATCACAACTTAGAAACAACTAAGTAAAAGTCTGGGACTCTAGCTAAAGAGATGGGGAAGAATCCATTCCCCCAAACAACCTGCCTTTACCCTAGCCCAGGCTCCACAGGCTCACTCAACACCTCCTGCCCTACTTCCCCAGGGTCCCTGGGTCACTACCTCCAGGGGCTGGTCTCCTTCAAGTGCCTAGCAGTGATAGCAAGGACACAGGAAGAATCAGAGACAGCGCCTGGCCTTCTCTGGCCTCCAAAACCACCCCAACTGCCCACAGCCCCAGCCTGGGTCCTGCCTCGGCCTTGTGACCACTCAGCTGTCTCCTGGGCTCCATACAAACCAGAGCCACTGCCTGGGCAGGTCACACCTGCAGTGGCTGTCCATTACTGGCTCACAAGGCCCTAGGACCAGTTCCTGCCAACCTCAGACCCCACTGCAGGGCACTGCAACACAGCTCTTCCTATACCTAGGCACACTGGCCCAGTTCCTCAAGCAGGACGCACCCCCAGGAAGTCCCCTTGAGCCCCAACTCTCACACATGCACTATCAGGCCTTGTTACCACCAACACTCATGGTCCCTGTCTGCTCTTAGTCTTGCCTCCACTGCCATCTCAAGTCCTGACACGCAATGCCACTCCAAGGAGCAAAAAAGCCAGGTCCAGAGGGTGATGGTGGGGATGGCCGGGGGGCTCTGTGAGGAAGGGACCCAGAGGAGAAACAGGCTGTAGCTCTGGGGGGCTCTGTGCCCACTTACCTTCTTTTGGCCCAGCCTGTCCAGAAGTTCAGCCCAGATGCTGCGCCCACATGCCTGCCAGTGGGTGCCGTGTCCACAGCAAAGGAGGGCCCTACTCCACACTCACAGACTGGACAGAGACCACACAGCTCAACTTCCCACCACCCAGTGCCTGGCATGCCCTCCAGCAGTGGTTCTCAATTTCCTAATGCCGCAATGTATTTTCATTGTTAAAAAGGGGTCACGACCCACAGGTTGAGAACTGCTGCCCTACAGTCTACTGTACCCTGGCTCTGACAGCCTTGGGTTCCAGGAGGGGCAGCCTGCTTTCCACATGGTCAATACCTCACCCAACTCCAAGATGGTTACTACACAATTAAGAGCAATCCCACAACTTTAGACAGCTCCAGGAAGCCATCAGCCACTCAGCAGGTTAATACGAGTTCCCTCACCTTCCCAGAGGGCTCAGGCCAACCCTGCATGCCTGCTCACCAGGCACCCACACCCCCAGCTCCTGCTTCCACTGTCTATGGGGCCTGCACACGGCCCTTGCCCTGCGCCCAGGAGTCCACAGGTATCTCTTCAGTCCATAGCCCCCATGTAGAGGCCTGAGTAGGACTCAGAGGCATCTCCCCCTCCAGAGGGTCACAGAGGACATCCAGAGAACACTGTCCAAAACAGCCCTGGAAGGTGTCGCTGGCCCCACAGACCTTCTTGCCCCAAGCCAGAATCCTTCAGACTGATGCAGCATGGCTACCCCCTCAAGGTGTGTGGATGACCCAACACTCAGATACCCACAGGACCAGGCTCAGGTGACACTCAGGCAGAGCTATCTCTACCTGGTTCTGCTGTACCTCCAAAAGCCTGGTCCCCAAACCCAGCCCGGCCTTACCTCGGACACGTTGACACGGCCCTCCAGGAAGGCGCAGTCGGCAGCATTGTGGGTGCAGACGTGGCGGTATTTACACCAGTGGCAGGGGAAGGAGCCGTTGACACATGACAGGCAGCTATGGGGGAGAGCAGGGCGCTGAGACCTGAGGACCCTGCCTGTGCTACTACCTGTAGCCATAAGGGGCCACCACACTGCCTGCCACTGAGTCTCATCCTGCCACCACACTCCTTTGCACTGGCTGCTCCCCCTGCCTCCTCTCGGGCTGGCGGGGGGCAGCTCCTGGATTTGTCTCCCATGTCCTGGCACTCATGCCCTCCTTGCCACTTTTCTGTAGCCCCCAGCCTGCCCCAGGGGCTTCTGCGGTAACCAATAGCCTTGGGTGACTGTGAAAATGTTGGCATAACTTGGAACTGTGTTTTAAGTTTTACCACATTTCAATAAACATGGGTTTAAATTTAGGTAGTGAGTAACTGCCACAGAACTGGAGTGTGGTACACATCTGCCTCCCCCTTCGCCCCCTGCCTGGGCAGGGGCCTGTCCATTCCCTCTGACACATCCCAGAGCTGTGATGGGCAGGCCATCACATGTGTGCTGCCCGCGCAGCCTCGGGCCTCACTGTCCCAACAGCTTCAGAGGATACCACCTCCTCAACCTTCTCTCCAGGATCTCACAACCTGCCATGGCCCCTCAGGCTCCTTCCAGGGCTGACCCCTTCCCCAGAGATCCCCACACCCTGCTTAGCACAGGCAAACTGCATTCTGGAAATACAAAAATGGTCCGGCCCACAGTAGGTCCAGGCCCAGTTGGGGTGAGTCCCCAGTGACACTCACGACTGGTGGACACTGCAGTTGTAGAAGACAAAGTCCACAGAGGCGAACTTCTTCCCTGTCTCCTTGGACTTCAGATAGAGCTTTACCACGCGCTGGTCCCCTGGAGAGCAGCATGGGCTGAGTCACCAGGGCTGCCAGGCGCCAGAGAGCCCAGGACCCCATGCAAGGCAAGCCCAGACAGGGGAAGAACTAGCCACCACCATCGAGCTGCAGACACCAGGCCTCAAGTGTTCGGCCAGGCCCCTCCTCAGCACCCTGGAGGCAGGAACCTTGGATCTGCTGGGACCCCTGCCCCGACCTGCCTCCTGTTCAGTTAGGGGGGTGCTGGGAACCACATGGCCCTCCCCACGCCTGCCCCAGCCTAGCCAGGTTGGCTTATGGTGTGGTTTGTGCAGAGTCAATACAGCAACTACCTGGACTGCAGCAACTAGAGAAGGCCTATACCCCCAACCCCTATAGGCCCTGCTGCACTTGGGGTCAATGCCCCCCACTCGACCTCCAACCTCACACGCCTACCCCTGCCAATCTGAGGGTTTTGACAAGTCTCTGTCCTGGGGCCACTTCCTGCCACCTCCAAGTTCACCATGGGACATGCCCCCATCTGGACACCTCCCTAGCAAGAGGGCCGCTCACTCTGGCCCTGTGCCTGGAGGACCCCATCAACTCCAGGGTCCCCGTGCTCACAACTGCACCCTGGAACTGAGCTGGGGAGGTGTTGAGAACACGTGGGTGACTGAACCCCACTCCAGGCCTCCTCAGGCCAAGGTGCTGCTGGTGCAGGACTGGAGGGGCACTCACCCTGGCCCTGTGTGATGGGCGCCACCTCGCGAGCAGAGGGTGAGCGGCAGTGGATCCGACCATCCTCCAGAACACCCTCAGACTCCATGAAGTCCTCAAATGAGCAGTTGACACCGGCTGAGAGGTCGGGCACATTCCAAGCCTGCAGCACAAGCTGGGGGCAACAGCAGGTGAGCACATCTCTGCGGCTGCTCCCACACCCCTGCCCCTGCCTGGGCAGCCACTCACCGGGACCCGGGACATGGTGACAGACACATTACGCGGCTGCACCGTCAGCCGCACACACTGCAGCAGGTCTGAGGCAAAGCGCTGGGGCTCGTCTGCCCGCTCACAAGTGTCCTGCCGTGAGCAACTGCAGGCAGAGAATGTGAAGCTGGGCAGGTGGGGAGACCCAGTGCACCCCAAATGGTCAGCCCACTGTGCAGGCCTGGACCAAGGACACAGATGGCTTGCCCCACCAGCCCTGTGACATTCCCACCTTCCTCAGCAGGGCTGTGCCAGCTTCACCCTGCTCTGAGGGGGCTGTGCTACCTGCACAGCAAGGCAGCCCCACGGCACCCCAAGTAGGGGAGTTACCAGACTGGGGCATCGGGGGCCCTCCCTGCCCACCCAGACTCACATGCTGTGCAGGACACACCAGCCGCAGTGAGGGTCCCGTGACCCCAGGCACAGCTCACAAGATGTGTACTGCACACAGCTCTCCACGGGCACCCTTGTCACCTGGGGAGGGGGATGTGGCATCAGGCCCCTCCAGTCCTCTCCCAGGGTCCCCACCACCACCACCTAGTGTTTCCCAGCCCCACCCTCCTCTCCCACATGCCACGGAGGTTCTGGCTCCCGCCTCTCAGAGGCCAATAACAGGGACCTTGCCTTGGCCAAGTCAGGTCACAGGGGCGCCAGGCCTCTGCATGGGCAGGCAGGCAGTGGAAAAGCCGACAGGGGCGGGGTGAGCCAGTCGGCAGTAATCAGCTTTGGCCAGCACTATTTCCCTGCCTAGCTCTGAGCTCCAGAGGAATAGACGGTTGGACAGCCCGGCCGGAGAACAGGAGGCAGGCCTGGATGGCACTCACAGGATAGGTGGGACCCTGGCCCACACGAGCTTCCTGGCTTGGCCTGGCTTCCCAGCACTCAGGCAGGTCTCTGAGGCCTCAGGGGCAGAAAAATCAGGAGTAGCCAGGAGGGCAGGAGGCCTGTACTCACCCTGCCCTGTGCTTTGCTGGGCCCAGCTTACCTCACCTGCCCACCCCCCAGAGGCCATGGGGTCACCAAGCTGGAAAGAATGGTGGTGGTGGTCTCTAAGCAGGCCAGGCCAGGGACACAGCCCATACCCTTGGGCCCCAATGCACTGCCCAACCCCTCAGTGACACCCATCCTCTGAAACTGCTCTCTGTCAAGTCCTCAATTCTGGGTCATGAAATCATTTAGTGAGGGGCAGAAATCCCAGCCCTAGCCCCGGAGAACCTGGGGACAGTGGCAGTGGTATAAGGCCCCAGTGCTCAGAGTACATACCCAGACAGGTACAAAACCATGCCCACCAGCCACCCGACCGTGATGTGGCCCCTGTCCCCAGCTTCCCCATGACCACAGTCTACCTCTGCACATTGGCGTCCCACCAGCACAGCACCCACCTGCTTTTCAGTCATGGCATAGAGGTACTGGCGGTTGGGGCTGAGAACAAGGTCCCGCAGGATGGGGCTGCCTTCCTGGGCCACCACACTCTCATAGGCCAGGGCTGGCCGGCCACCAGGGTTCGCAAGGTCCACCAGGATCTGTGGTGGTAAAGCTCCCTGAGCAAGGCTATGTCAGCACCTGCCTAACCCAACCCCACCCAGAATAGAGGTTGGGGTCTTAAGACCCCTCCAGCCCACACAGCCCTGCAAGAACAAGACTGGGATCAGAAGGGGCCAAGGCTGGCTACACTCACCCCAGCACCCTGTATCCACCCAGCCCTAGTATGGGAGCTTATGTGGGCAAACTTCAGCCCAGACAGGCTGGTCTTGGCCTCAGCCTCTTATCAGTCAACAGAGGCCAAAAACATGGGCATACTGGGGACTAGAGATGGCCACTGCCCTGGGTGTCATGGCCATACCCAGGGTGAAGGCCTCAGACACTCTCAACCTGTGGCAGGCTGGGTTTCTGAAGGGGTGTGGGAGGGCAGAGGCCAGGGTCTGTAGGAGCACAGGGAGTCCAGTGTGGCTGCCAAATGAAATAAGGGTGGGGTATCCCAGAGGTGGAGGGGGGCACCCCATCAAGGCTGCAGAGGAAGGCAGACATCTCATCGGCATGGAAATGTATTCCAGATCCCAAATAAACCGGGCGTTAATTAGCCAGCTCTTCTCTGCAGCTTGCAATGCTGAGAGTATTTTTAGTTGCTTTTACCAAACAAATGTATTTAATTAACAGAGAGACCCAGGGGGCTTTCCAGAGATGGGACTTGTGGGGCGTGTCCACCCAGTTCAGCCTTCTGGGCAGGCTCCCCAGGCTCAGGCCGGCTCCTGCCTGTTGCGTGGCCAGCCTGGCGCCCACACTTCACCTCCACCTCGGGGCGGGGGCCTGGGCCCACACTTGGCACAGTGCCCCTTCTTTGCGCCCCCACAGTGGCAGGGCAGGGCAAGGCAACATAGAGTCAGGCAAAATCCCTCACTGGAGTCAGCCCTATCAGGCCTGGCCGAGGGCGGCGGGCCAGGGTGGGGCGCTATGTCTGTGGGCCAAAGAGGCTGCTGGCTGCAGGAGGCAGGACGGTGGAGGGGGGGGAGCTGCATTCCTGCACTCCACCACCCCCCACATCCGCTCAGCTGCCTCCCCACCAGGCAAGCTTAAGTCAAACCAGACCCGGAAGAGCTAAGCCCAGAGCCGGGCAGGGGAGGAGGCTGTCGAATGGGCCCAGAGAGGACACCTGCAGGGGCTGGGGTCCCAGTCTGGGGGCCACAGGAGCCTAGTGCCATGGGTGGGGCCAGGAACTGGACCCTACCTGCTCCCCTGTGCTGGCTTGCCTGCCCTGAAGTCACAACTGGGCCAAGAGTCTTCACCCAAAATGACTACTGGCCAAAAGTGTACCAAGGGGCACTGAGGATGCCCACCCCAAAGGCCTCTGCCCTGCCCTGGGCAGCAGCTCAGGCTCACAAGGCCCCCCAGGTCCCCCAGGCCTAGGCAGGATGCCGGCCAGGACCCAGCCCCTGGACTCACATTGCCCAGGTCCACACCACAATGGGGTAGGACACTGAAAGGTGCTAAACCTCTCTTTGCCTGTTTCCCATGAATCAGGAATGACAGACACCACAGAGCTATTCTGGGGCTACAGACTAAGCCAGCATGCCAGGAGGGGTGAGACGGGAGATAACACGGGGGGCCAGGGTCACACACACACACACCTGAGCACTGCCAGGGAACAGGAGGCAGGAAGACAAGGCGGGCAGGGCAATGCCTGGACAATGGGCAGGTGCAGGACCCCTGTGCTCCACACCCACCACTGTCAACCCAAAAGATCCCCATCAGGGCTCTGGATTTCCTCCTAAGCCCTTGCCCTCACCTTGGCCTCCCATCCCTGCAGATGTGTCTAATAGCCGCCCCAAAACCCAAGACGCACTCTAGGCCCAAGGCCCTTCCTCCATGGCTCCAGGCCTGTCCTTACTACATGGCGTGCAGGGTCATAACGCTGACGAGACCCTGACCTTAGTGTGCAGGGGGTGCCCAAGAGGCATCTGAACAGGGACACCAAGGGAGAGGTACCAGCCTTGCTACCCTGCTAGGGACTGATCCTATTCAAGGATGAACTGGGATTCTTGCAACCCAAGGATGGGGCTCTGTGGCCTGGGGGCACAAATGTCACATCCAGGGCTACCCCACCCAGCAGGGGATGGAGGAGGAAATGGTTTTGGGAAGGGCAACTCCAAGGCATTGGGGGAGGGTGTGGCCAAACAGGAGCAGGCCTCTTCCCCAGGGTCCCAAGGCTTGGTCAAGCAGGCAGGCGGGCCAGCTCCAGGCCCCAGAACACCCTGCACTCATCCCACCCAGCAGCAAGGCAACCGAGACAGGTGGTGCCCGACAGCTGCAGCCTGGAGCACATGCGTGTCCAGCTGTCCATCCGCCATGCAACCATCTGTTCACACACCTGCCAGCACTGAGCCATCCCACTCCTTTGCAGGCTATCCTCAGGGGGACAGGGCCCAGGGTGAAGCCGCTGTGTGACTACCGAGGGCACAGAGAGGCAGGGGTGTCGGGGAGGCTGACGTATAGCACACCAGGCCAGAGGGGGGTATGCCTGGGTAGCAGGCCCCAGGTTGTGTGCTGAGCCTTCACAGTCCCGGCTCAGTAGGTCCCCATGTGCACACGCATGCTACAAGGGCAGTCTAGTAGGGAAGGAGTCCCCAGATTATGCCCCCTGTGCCCTGATCCATGTTCTGGTTGGAGGCCCCAAGCACTCTAGCCAGGAGGTAAACTGAGGTACACAAAGCACCTGATAGGAACCCAGGATCCCAGGACCTCAGCTGTCCCCAGGGGGAAGGAATCTGTTCCAGAAGAGGGTGGAGGGAGAAGGGTCTGCAAGGAGCAGGTCCCAGGCAGCAGGAAGGAAGAGCAGACAGCAGAGTGGGCACAGGGCCAGGGGCCTGGCAGGACGCAGGGCTCATGTGCCAGGCCACACATGCCAACACCTATACCCAGCCCCAGCTGTCCACTAAAGGGCCACCCACCTTCAGAAGGCCCACCCTTGAGGCAGCTGGGCCCAGCAGTCCCCTCCCACAGCAGCTGGGAGCTGGCAGAGCAAACAGGAATCTGGCAATGTCTTGGGCATGGGGCCGAACCAGGGTCCTTGCTATCTTCCCACCTCCAGCTGTCACCTCCTTGCTCAGCAAATCCTTCTCTGAAGACTACCAGAACCTTTTACAACTGGCCTGACAGCTCTCTTTCCCTCTTCCCACCCCACGAACCTGGGGGGTAGGTGGCAAACTCAGTCCTGCTCCCTCTGCCCTGGGATCCTTCCCCTTCACCCATAAAGGCTCAGGTGAGTCACCCAACCTCCCCGGATGTGCTCACCGGGCTGTGCTGGGCCCTGGGTATCCACCCATCCTCAGATAAGGGGAACACAGGCCACCCTACTCAGCTTTTACGAGGGCCCTCTACCTCTCAAAGTCCCCTGTCCTGTCCAAACACTGGAGAGTTCACCCAGGATTCTGAGCTGAGGCACCAGGGCTGTCAGCATCCTGATTGTGGGACAGACCCCAGCGGCACCTCAGTGCCAGGGCCAGGCAAGGCATGGGCCTCCCCCGTGGAATGAGCACCTCGTACCACCATGGGGCTCACCTGACCCTCCCCATTGACAAGCTAGAGTAGGGTCACTCCTCTGCACAGGACGCAGCAGGCAGGGACCCTGCAAAGGGAGCCCCGCTGAGCCCCAGGATGGCCAGCTGCTGGCCCAGCCAGGTCAGCTGTCTGTCCAGCCCAGAGCCAACAAAGGGCCCATTCTCAGGGCTGAGGGTAGCAGGGGCACTGAGGAGGACGTCTGGGCTGCCCAGGCTGTGCGCCAAGGCCAGCACACTCCCTAGGTGCCCAGAGGCAGAGGACTGCCCAGCTTGGCTCCAACCCAGTGAAGGAAGAGTGCCTTGTCTGCCTACCCTACAAAGGCAGCTGCAGGTCAGGCTGCTAGGCCCCTCCCAGCCCTCGCTTGTGAAGTATGGGTACGCTGATGAGCTGTGGTAAGGGACAGGGGACAAGGGCCAGGCATAGGCAGAACCCTGGAGCTGTGGCCAGCCAGGTAGTCATGGCCTTATAGGCCTTGCAGCCCTTCCACAGAGATGGCAGCTGAGGTGTTCAGGGAGGCGTGGGGACTTTTGCCCCTCCCCCCCCCCCAGGACCTCTGGGGCACAGACCTGACCTCCCCTCTTCCTCTCCTCTCCCTCTGGGTCAGGCCTGCACAGCTAGGGCAGGAACCAGCTCCCAACCTCCCAGCCCCTGCATGGGAGCCTTCCTTGGCTGGGGTCTGGGGACAGGTTCCAGGCTCCCTTCCTGAGTCCCCATCATTCTCAGAAAGGCGAGGAAGAATTTGATACTGGAAAAGCAATTAGTTGATTTCCTCTTGGCAGTAATTGGGTAATTAAAATGTGATTTGTAGGAGCCCTGACGGCTGGAACTGGGCCACACACCTGTTGGAGGAAGGGTCCCAGGAATCCCATCTCTCCCCTCCCCCCACCACACAGGGGACAGCAGGTGGGAGGGCCAGGCCTGCCTCAGACCAGCTCCAGCAGTGATCACTCCGTAAGCAGTGACTTCCTTGACCCTGGGTCTCCCCATCTGCCGACATCCTGATCACAGGGCTGTGTGATCCAGGAGTTCACAGTTCTAAAGGGAGTATCTCTGCCTGGGATAGGGAGATGAGGCCCGAAAAATCAGCCCCTGCCATGGAAGAGAGGCACACAGCCTCCTGCGGAGCCTGGCATGCTGGGCCACCACAAGACAGTGTAGACTGCACAGCCTCAGTCACGCAGGACTGATTAGGACTCTGTCCCATCTTGGCTAAGGTCCCACCTGCAGTCTAGGATGTCACCAGCATGGGTCTTTGTCCCAAACCCACACGCCATCCAATGTCCTCCCCTCTCTCTTGTGCCCTCAGTGCCCCAATGCCACCTCCAGCCCTGATCCCAGTGCCCCCACAGACTCATGTCATTGTCACCACCCCACCTATTCCAGCCGTTCTTTCTACCTCCTCTGGCTTCCTGCTCCCACCAGGCTGGTGACCACAGCATCCCTAGTGAACAGACCTGCCACATAAGAC